AACAATCTTTACTTTCAATACTTTCTACAGGAATCAAGGAACGCGGTTCACAATACTATTGATACATATGACAAAATATAATTATTCATTTTTTCATTGCTTTCATTTCACTTTAATACCTCTTAACGTACTTGTGCTACAACAGTGCATACTTCTCGCATTATTTGTAATGGCTGCGCAATATTATAAAACTATATGAACCTGCAAAAGTTAGGGTTACCAAATTTCCATAATGGAAAAAGAGAGCTTACAAAAAAAGACACATTGTATAAAATGTTTTAAAATAATTTATTTTTCTTTAAGACAAAATACTTACTGCCGACGAATAAATACTTCAATCATTGTCATCACATTCACAATCACACAATTGGCCTACTTTATTATCATTATTCCTTTCCACTTTTATACCAGAAGTATTTGGTAGATGATATCTCCCTCAACAATTAAAACTTTGCCTTCCTTTGAACATTGCAAAAACTCTTTGAACTTTTTAGTGTGTCATTAAACAAGGTTTTTCTTTTTGGCATCCTGTTCGAAACGTAAACACCACAGAGCAGTATTAACTCTACAGGCCAGCAGAACAGTGTTAACACCACAGAGCACAGCACCGGCACCAAAATCAACAACCACAAAAAAAGACATTTCGTCCTTTCTAGTAAAATTCACCCTGGCAATTTTTCTTACTTCAGAAAGAGGGCATGTCCGGGGAAAGAGGACGTAGTAAGCAAAAGTGTTTCCAACCAAAAAAAAAAAAAATCTTTGTTCTAAAATTCGAACTCATATCAGTAGCGTAACGAAATGAGTGCGGGCCCTTCAGCAAAACTTTTATCCGAATCTCCTTTATAAAAGGGTACCAAATACTAGTAGCATTAGTATCTTAAATAATAAAAATATCCCCTAGAAATAAACCCTATTTTACCCGAGCCCGAACGTTACGCGAACGAAGTGAGATACTTGGAGTTGATACGCCATGCACGTTACCGCTTTACAGCTAGATTTACGACCAACTTCGACCATCCCAACGCTTCAACAACTAGTGATGCTACAACATTACATACTTTCTCGCATTATCTCTAACGTTTGCAATTTTAGAAAAGTCGGATTGTTCAATGAAAAATAGATTTGCAAAATTTTTAGCGTTGTTAGCTTTAAATTAAAGAAAAAAAGTGATCTGAAAATGAGTTTCCAATAGGCATTTTTTCTACGCGCTGAGATTCGAAATCAGGCTCTTAGAGGTAAACACAATATCCCTACACCACCAACCAGCCGTACGGCTAAATTCAACCTCTCCGACACAAAGTTGATTATTTGCAAATTTTCAAACATTCAGAGATTTTCATTCCCATTACTTTAAGACCTATTTTCTTGGAACAGATTTCATTAAGGAAAAAATCTTTATCATCAATAATCTAGTGAGTTCGTTTTTGCAGTTTTCGAAAATTATCCAAAAGGACTTGTTCTGACACATGTTCACGGAAATGTTTAAGGCTGCTGAGTGGTAGATACATCAAAATGAAATATGTTTTTCAGCGAATTGGATAGGTGGTAAACGAATTGAAGTTTTTGCTAAATGAAGTAAGAAATATGATTTGCTGCTGGTTCGACTGCATAGGGGTACAAACACATGGCAAATTTAAATGCGTGGCTATCAACGACGCCAAACAAATGACCTGGGGTGTAAACATGTTGTAATCTACATATTTTATGTTCTTGTCGAAGTACATGAACGCCTATAAAATTTACCATGCCCATAAATTTTCTTATCACACTCCAGATAATAATTCCTCAGTTGAATCTTTCACGAATCACAATCCACTAAGTCTCGCAGATTTATTAACAGGCAACCCAGTCACATTTTTGTTGTGAATAACTGGCCATACATTTGTAAGTCAACTTTTTAAGTAATTGGCTTCCAGTTAGTAAACAATCAACGCTAGAAAGATTTACAATAGAGAGACTTTAATGTGAAGGTATCTAGGAGATAGCACTAATTCATTAAGTTGAAAAATTAAACTAATTCAGTAAGTTGAAACATGAACTTACAGATAGTGGTGGATCTAGTGTCCCAATATCTTTACTGAAAATGTAAATATTAACTACATTTACACATATTTATGTAACAATATTACATGTTCTCGTGTGTGTGGGGCGGGGGGTATGTATTCCCGTGTTTTGATTTTAGGGGCGCGTCAAACCTTGAGTTGAGGTATTAATGACACCGCAACTGCTCGCAACTCCGCCAAGAAATACACAGCCTCTTTCCTTGTATACAGTTTGTCTGACCCACAGAGACATACACTACGCCTGACCCAATATCTGAGGAGAAAACTTGTTCACCTCGAAATTCCCATTGGCCTACGGTCAGGTATTGCACCCAAGAGCATTCTGGTGCTGAAAAGTCCAATCTTTTCGAACAGTTTTCTTGGTTCAACTGTTTACTGTCTGGAGCAGTTCAGTTGGTTCTGTCTGATGCTCTCCGCGGCTCTCCGTCGCTCTCCGTAAGCTGAAAGAATACGTCACGGCAGTTTAATTTGCTTGGCCTGTGACATTTTCCAGTCAGTGAAGATCAGTAACATCGTTGTTTTTCGAAAGCAGTTTACTGGATTTCACTTAGGTGGTTCGCAGCTGTGCTTCCTCAATGTCGCAGTTCATGCATTTTCTTTATAGATGAGGTTCAGAAACATGTTATGTTATTCACATTGCTCTGCGAAGATAAGCATGTGTTGTTTCATCTGTCCTCAAGATCTTAGGATTACATGTTTTAAAAAGCATCTTTCTCATCGTAAGTTATATTCTCATAGTAATTAATGTAGTAATATATTGTATATGTGTGTAATGTATTTCGGCCTTAGATGTGAAAATGATAATGGCCTATGAAGTCTCCCAGCATAATTGCGAATAGTGGATGTCGAATTAACCACATGTCACTTGTGTGCTAAAAAATCACGAAACGTTCTACGAAAATGTTTTAAGTTTATAAATCTAAGTTCGTATTACTAGTGCATTCGTTTGATAGTGGGACGAATAAACCATGACAGTTCTGCACTAATTTATTTCACAGTATTACCGTTCGAAGAATTACACGGTAGAGTTGTAATGTCAAATTGGCGAACGCAGTTTAGTTGTATTGCTGTAATAGTGTTTGCTTCCCACTGTGTGTCTCTAATCTGATGTTTACATTGATTTTTATAGTTGAACCTTTATTGGATTATGTGTAGGGTAATTCTAACTTTTTATTTGTGTGGGTAATTTTTATTGAAATGTGTTTTATTATTGTGAATGAATTATTATTTTTAATTATCAACAATGTTTTTGTCTGAAATTTGGACAGAAATAATGTATAGTTGTTCTGAAATAATGTTAAAATTGTGAGTAGAAGGGGAAAAGTTTGTGATGTCGAAAATTTCATATGATTGCATATTTAGTTCACATTCAAATACAAATTGCAGGAATTCATGTCCTGACAGATGCATAAATTTCATTTATTTGAAGAAACATATAACTGAAGTGATATGTAGCATTGGTAGGAGTGTTGATCTGTAAACAAGGCCAGAAAGACAAGTTGGAGTTCATGAAAATTATTGCGGAAGAGTTGCATCAAGTTCTGATAATGTTTTAATATAACAAAGCTTTTGAAGAGGAATTTGGAGAGGTTGGCAAGGCCACTTGGAGAAAAGTTGTAAAAGGAATAAGTAGATATTGATATGCTTCATAATCTTATATGATTCAAAGAAGGAATGAATAAATATGCTGAACTCTTTTCAACTAACAAATCAAGTAGGAGAAAATGTTTGAGAGTAGAATAAGTAAGAAACATTCAAAGCTGCTGTATGCAGTCAGTCGTGTAATACATATATGCTCAGAATATAATCAAACATATATGTCTTTAATAGAATATGAAAAACAATTTGTTAGATGGAAAAAAGATCTCTAAGAATAATGAAATGAAGGGTCAAAGTCATGATACTGTAATTGCTCATGTTGTGATTGGAGACGTTTAAGGTATAAATTTTGTTTCCATCCAGTGGGAAATGCTATTGATTCTAAATTAAATTTACAAATATATCTAAATTGAAGTACACCTCCCAGACTTCTACACCTTTTTATGATGTGCAAAATAATTAAATATATGATTTTACAGATGTTATGGCAATATGATTAAATTAAGTGATTGACATTTGTAAGATGCTGACACTTTTCCAAGGAGACCACCCATCATAGCACTTGAACAGTCATATAGATGACCATTTGAGCTAGACATTTGGTCATTTCATCTATCATTGTATTCAGTTTATAAACCTCGAAGACTTAATCAAGATTGTTAATATAAAAAAGTGAGTGAAAATTTTGAATTTTTCATTGCTCTGTACTCTTTAACGTGTGTTAATACTGAAGATGAAATTAAGTTAAATATATGTAAATAAGTTTTATAATTAGAAAGATTTAAATGGTTCTGCCCTGATTTTACATTAGAGAAATAAGACAGCTGATAGGGAGGTTTGATGTGATATCATCAAAAATGTTAATACATAGAATATGAACATTTAGATCTGGATTTGAGGAAGAACATGAAATATTTTGTAGTGGATTTGTTTTTATGGAGCACAAATACTGTGTACTCTAAGAAATGATTGATGCCTTTGATATTTGATTGTGAGAAGAAATATACAAAACAATTGTTGGAAAGATCAGGTAAGGAATCAATAGTTTCTTGAAAAATGAGAAAACATTTTTGGAGAAATAGTAGAGGAAATTATACTGAATATTACATTTTTTTTTTAGACAAGTTGGCTTGTTGAAGATTTTAAAAAAGTCATTCTGAAGAGTGAAAGGAGAAGATTATCAAGTTTGCAGACAACTTGCGATTATTTTTCAGCATTAAAATGAAGGACAGTAGAGGTGGGTTGTTGATTATGATGATGGTCTCTAAATGTGTAGATATTAGGAAAAATTACAAAAAAAATGAAGGCTAATTTGCATGCAATGAAAACAGAAGTTCGATGAAGGTATGATCATTTATAGTCTGTGATAAAAGGTAATTTGTTCAATGAAAATAAAAAATGTTTGTGGAATATTTACCCATAATTTAGTTTTAAAATGGTATAAATTAAGATTGTTCTACCACAAATAAAATAAGTGTAGAAAGGCAAAAATTAAAAACCTTAGGAAATGAAATTTAAAAGAATAATTTAGTATCTACAAAGTTTTTCACAATATTGGCCACTCAAAATACAAGAAAAGAGAAGTCATTACAATACAAGTAGGATTATGAAGGCCTTCTACAAATAAAATGTATGAAAGCTCTCTTGTAGGTTTTAAAAGCACTTGAAAGGTATCAACACACCCTCAGATTTCATGTGAAATATGAAATCTTATAATAAAAGAGGAAAAGTGCAAAATTTATGTCTCAAAAATTCTTGAGTCAAACCCTGGTAGACTATGATAGAAGAAAAAAGTCTTCACAGTTTAAATTAAAGAATGTTGGGGTAAATTCTTTGTATAGAGAACACTTTCCGAGGTACAGTTTTATGAAAATACCAAAGAAACGGTCCCAACAGAGAAATAGCACCCTCTTTTGTGATGAGAAAGCCCCTTACAGCCTTTGGTCCCATAGTATTCAAGATATACTATTCAAACATGAGCCTTGTAGTTAAGAAAGCCTGTGAAGCATGGCGCTGTAGTTTGAAGGATAAACTAGCATTGGAAGAGGATTTGAAAGATATCGGCCTGAATTTCAAATAGCTTGTCATGTACTTTCAAGAAAATGTTGGTTCTTGCACAGAGCAACTGAAGTATAATTGGTTTCCCTCTTCCACAACAAATGTTAGTAGAAAGTTCTTCCTGATTTAATTCAAGGTTTTGTGGTTATACTGTGCAAATATTTTCTTTTTTAAAATCTCTTTAATAGGTATTATAGCCCTTGAAGTGTTTATCTCCATTTGTGTGCTGAGGAATTTCATTATTGCCTTAGTTTCATGAATGTAGTAAATACATTAACGGAGAAATCAAAGGTCGTTATTGTAAGCAAAGAAATGTAAGAAAGTAAGGAATATTGATTCAAAGACGTGGTTTGAGTTTTGAAGTCTTTCGAAAAGCTGCTATCCCAAACAACAATAATAGTATTAATTGAATGAAAAACAAATAGCATTGAATTAGATAGCTTTACAAATCAAATCTTTGTCTTATCATGGAAATCATATTATTGAAAAGTAAAGAATGCATCTGAAGATATATTGTCTGTGGAGTGTTTCAATATTTGGTAAATCAAAAAAGATCCTTGCCACATGAGAGAAAAAGAAGCTAGAAGGTGAAGTCCTGTTTTGCAAGAGAAGTAGAACCAAATAAGGTGGAAAAGCAATGTAAGTTTGCTGAAAGTAATAAATGTTGCAACATCTTAACACATTGGAAAATTTCAAAGCAAATATTTCTAAGCCTTAAGGCATAATTTTGAATCAAACATTTTGGAAGGGACAATATTTAAGAAGAACAGAAGAGAACTCTGGCTCTTATACTTCAAAATTCTTCTGGAAGTCGTGGGATGTACTTCATTCAAGTGAATAAAAAAAATCTTGGTTAAGAATTAATTGGGTTGAAAAAACTGTACATGAGCTCATGTCTCATATCGTTTTAGATATAGGAACAATTAATTCATTGTTATTAGAAATTAATTTTTCATATCCTAATCTCCCTCTATTCCATCTTTCTTTATACCCGCGCTCCCCACTTCCCTTTTACTCCTATCTTCCCCCCACTCCTATTGTCTCTGCACAACTGTCTTCCCCTTTACTGCATC